ACTGTGCCAAGTTTGGAAGAAATCTGTACAGCGGTTACCAAGATATCCACATGTAACCATAAGTGGGCGTGGCTACGCCCATTTTCCAAAATTTTATAATATTCTTATTTTTCGTCTAAAAGTTATTGTAAATATCAATTTTGAGTGAATTTTCTTCAGTAGTTACTAAAATATCGCAGTTTTCGTATTTCTGGAAATTACCGTTATATGGGAAGCGGGCGTGGTTACAGTCCGATTTCGCCCATTTTCAATACCAATCTACCTCGGATTAAGGGAAACCTACATACCAAATTTCGTTGAGATATCTCAATTTTTGCTCGAGTTATCGTGTACACGGACGGACGGACAGACGGACGGACAGACAGACATGGCTTAATCGATTTCTTTTTTCATCCTGATCATTTATGTATACATTTGTCTATATCTATCTCGATTCGTTTTGGCTGTTACAAACAACCGTTATGTGAACAAAATTAATATACCCTTGTGCACAAGTGCGCTCGGGTATAAAAAGAAAGATCTTGACGGTTTTAGGTTAATATTTTGATTACTGCATTATATACTTAAAAAGTAGTGATGGATCCGCATACAGACCATAATAATGCATTTAAGGGTAAATTTTTTTTAATCATTTTATTAAACAGAAGTTCGAATTAAATGTAACGAAAATAGCGGTTTTCAACGAGTAGTTTTTTGTTAAGTTTTGTGAATATTAAGGAATTGGTTGTATTCCCGGGAGAGATCGCGTTATTATTCTTTGTTCAATTGAAAGCTTAGAAATTTGGCTAATATAGTGTGAAAAGACTGCCCGCAGAAAATGGCAGATAAATGGTATTTCTTAACTTAGAAAATGTATTAAGGAAAAATCTAAAAACGCAACTAGTATATAGTAACAATACTTTAGATCTATTTTAACACTAAAATTAAACTTTTTAGATGAATTTGAGGCTGTTGAACTAGAATATGAATCCATTTAATTTAACAAATAAATAGTTTTCGAGATATTAGCAAAAGTCATGATTTCTAGGACTTTTCGGTCCTGTTGCTAGAAATCTGTGGCAATGTAAGGCAATGTTATATATTTCGGAATAAACATTTGTTTTCCTTTACATTGGTGATAATTAAAGAAATAGTTTTGTGTATACAAGCGTTTATATTTAGATAAATGTCAATTTAGATAAATCTACGATATTTCAGTAAATATTGTATCCAAATTGTTAAAAATTAGTATGTAAAGTAAAATTTTGGAACAA